AGGCTGGTCTGGATCTCAGAGATCCATCTGCCTCTGCCTTTAAAGGCGTGCACCATCACGGGGGCGGGGGGCGGGGGGCAATGGACGGACGACTTTTTATAGATTTTGAAGATAGTGCTGAGGATTCCGGAGTCAGGCTGAACTTGCCTGCCAATTCTAAGCATGGGGAATTTTAATCAGCTAACTGTGGTGAAGGAACAATGGTCCATCTGGCTCCAGCCTGGCATTATGGGTGGTCCAGAGGGGACTGGAAGAGCTGCCCTGTCTCCTGGACGCTTCACAAACACTGGAGGCCTGCACGGCTGGACCTGCCCCTTCCTTGAGGCTGCTTGTGTTGTGGCTGGGGTGCAGTATTTTCCAGTCTCATACACAGCTTTTCCTGATTTCCTGTCTTCCTCAGATGCTGGATCTCTTGGACTTCTTCCCTTTCTTTCTGTATGGCAAACTTGCATCTGCGTGGCTACTCCCTCCCTGGGAGGTGTCTAAACCACCCTTTCCACTTGCTGGGGGAAGCATTGTGCAAACTGATCTTGTCATTAGTGTCTGTCACCTCAGCAGACTCTGCTCTAAGGCAGGAGAACGATAAGGAAATTCCTTCCCCCTGAGCTAGGATTCTACTAGAGTAAGACAGGGAGGCGTAATGAGGAAGTGAAGGATCTGCTCTGTCATACAGCAAACATCACTGAGAAACAAAGAATGGAGGGGCTCGGGGAGCTGAGGACGCCAGGCAGAGGGGGACCGCAAGAAGTCCTGCTGTCTGGGACTCTTGGGGGAAACCAAGGTCTCAGAAGCTTCCAGGCACTTGAGGTTTGCTGGGAGATAGCATCTGCTAATCACTGGCTAGAACACCAGGATGGGGCATTAAGTCCTAGCCATAACAGAGTATATTGTAATGGGACTGTGTTGCTTTGCATATGCAATGTTGAATCTGTCTCCATAGACAAATACCCGATTAATCCAAGGGAAGCCGTGCTTGGTGATGCACGGAACAGGGTCTGAAAGCTTAGTGGCCGAACGCTGGTGAAGTTTATTACTCCACTGTAAGATGCCTCATTGTGAGGAAGAGATGGAGTTTGCTCCACACTCTGAGGGAGAAAGCCTCTTCTCACCTTTTACCCTAGGTGTTCTTGGGACCCAGACATCACAGGCTGGTAGACACTGTCAAAAAGGAGGCCTCTGTGCAAGAACCTGGAAGCAACAGACATTTCTACCCACCTTCCATCTCAACGCCACTCACTGCCAGAGAAACAAGGAAACGCTGGCTGGCCACCTGCCCATGCAAAACCGAACGTGGTTTCATGGCCAAAGAGCAAGTCCATGCTTAGTTCCTCGTCTTCCTCCTCTCCCTTCTCTCTCACCCTGTTGTTCTTATTAAAAGACCTCACAGTGACCTCTCCTCAGCCAGCAACCTCCTCTGGCATGAATTGTGTATAGCCAGAGTCTTAGGATGATATAAGGGAGGGGCATCTTTCTCCCCCTGCCCTGATGGACCACTCTGTAGCAACTCTCCTGCAACTACCAAGAACTGTCTCCAGATTCTGTCCTACCCTCTTGGCGTTTCTGCCTGAGCTGGGAAGATGGCAAACGTCGGTTATTCTAACTGATTAGATAGAATGTGAGAGAAGGTTAAATTCTGTGGAAAGGGATGGGGGAGCGCATAGAAAGGAGGATCGGGAATGACCATGAATGTGATAAAAATGGACGTTGATGAAAATGTTAATGCAATTAGTAGCTAAATGTGGTATAGTACTTACTGTGTGCTACTTAGTACTTGTAGTACTTACTAAGTGTTTTGCGGTGTTAACTTGATTAGTCATCAGAAAATCCAGTGTTAGCAGAGGATATACAAGAAGACCCTTGAAGACCAAACTAGCAAGGACGGGAAGTTCTGTTTGATAGGATGACCTGACTGCCTTTGAAACAGCTGCTGACCTTATCTGACTCTCAGCAGCTACTGACCTGGATCAGCCACTCCCAGTACTCAGGGGGAACTGTGTGAGACAGGCTATTGCTCAAGGTAACCTGTCCTGCTTGAGCAAGGGGCTGCAGAAATTGAAACCCATAGACCCCTGCAGCGTGGCCGCTTCCTCTTGCCCATGTGATCTCTAACTCCGCATTCACAATACAGTGGTGGCATCCCAGGGAAGGCAGCTGTCACTCCTGTACTCTGTTGATGGTCTTGCATTGTTCTCTTTTCCCAACTCTGCTTTCCAAAGTCTAACACTATCACTATTAGGGTTTCAAACAACAACAGCACCCTCCCCCCCGCTCCCCAAAAGGGACCTATGGACTTTTGAAGCCTGAAAAAGGGAACTGAGCTGATAAGCACCTTGGCCTTTGAAGTCAAGGGAAGCAAACTCTGCTGAGAAGCAGCCTGCCTTTCCTCTGATCTCCAAAGACAAGATAAGCAGATTCTACCTGTTAACCAGAGATTTTAGGAGCTGTTTAGCACAGCAGCTTTTCCCTTATCTTAAGAGGAAAAATGTAAACACTTCAAGACCCAGATCCTGCCTGGCAGACAGAACGGAGCCAGGTTTACAAGACCTGCTTTTCCTGCTTCCCCCTGCTTGATTTTTTCCCCAAACTCCCCCGCCTTCTGCACCCTGAAGCCCCCGCATATAAGCCCCAGCTCACAACCCGTGGCCTGACATTTTCCCTTCCCCGAGGGAAACGTGTCCTGTGCCAAATAAAGCTCTATCCCACTGAGACTTATCTGTGTCCTGGTGCCTCCTCCTCCATTCGCTCGTTCTCCACCAAATTTTTACCTATCAGTTACTAGACTTTCTAGTTCTGACTTTGTTCTGTTGTGAGTATATGGATCTCCTTCCCTGCATTGCCTTTATGGTAGGTGTGAGGACGCAGGTGGAAGGGCCGGAGAGATTCTCAGCAGTTAGAGCACTGGTTGCTCTTGCAGAGGACCCAGGTATGGTTCCCATCTCCCACTTGGTGGCTAACAACAGTCTGGAACTCCAGTTCCAAGGGATCCGATGTCTTCTGGCTTCTGCTGGCATTGCACGCATGGGTGCACTTATGTACATGCAAGCAAAACACTCATAAACATATAAAATTTAAAGATTTAAGAAATTTTTAAAAAGCAGGTGTAAAGATGAGTGTGTGGGTACTTGGAAGGAGAGCCGTGGCCTTCCCAACACAGTCCTTAAATGTTATGCCTTTTAAATATTATTGTTGCTAATTTATTTTGTGTGTGTGTCTGTGTGAGTGTATGCATGTATGCAGTTGTGCATACTCATGTGCAGGCAGAAGAGGGTGTTGGGTGTCCTCTCTGTCGCTCTCTGCTCTTTTCTTTAAGGCAGGATCTCTTTCTGATTGAATCTGGAGTCTTGGGCCTTCTTGGCCTCGTGGGAAGTCAGCAAACCCCATCCAGCTGTCTGTCTTTGCACCCCGCCCTTCCCCGCAGAACTGGGGTTACAGGTGTTTTCCTGGGTGCCTGTCTCGTCACATAGGTGCTGGGATCCAAACTCTGGCTCTCGTTGTGGAACAAATACTCTTCACCACTGGGCCAACTCTCCAGCCCCCAAGTTTGGTGTCTTTTCAATTGTATTTGTGATATCATGTGCACTTGTGTTTGTTAAAACCAATGTGATGGACCCAATATAATGCACTCTCTGAACCTGAGAGGTTATGTCTTAAGTTAGGAGACGGGGTCAAAGTTTATCATACCTACAAGGAAGGCGGTACAAACTGTACCTCTCACCAGCAAAAGAGAGAGGGTTACCTTCCTTACACCCATCTTTACTACCACCAGGATCTTCCAGGTGGACCTTTGTCAAAAACTACCAAAATATGGTTTTGATTACTTAGTGTGTGTGTGTGTGTGTGTGTGTGTGTGTGTGTGTGTGTATGTGTGTGTGTGTGTGTGTGTGTCTTTTTGAGACAGGGTCTCTCTGTATCCCCAGATGGCCTGGAACTCACTATGTGGACCAGGCTGGCCTTGAACTCACAGAGATCTGCCTGTCTCTGCCTCCCAAGTGCTGGGATTAAAGGCGTGCGCCACCACGCTCAGCGGCTTTGATTACTTTTTAATAAATACCTACAAAAGGTACTGAAAAGCTGTCTGTCCAAAATGAAATGATGGCTCAGGTTGTTAATATGTCACTTGAGAATCACAATTGCACACCCTTTGAGTAGCGCAATGTGGGCATACTTGTCACAGATCTCCCTGCCAACCTGAAGCTTTTAGAGGGATTGATTCCCTCTTAACAAACCCTGAACATACTTCCCTACACTGGACATGGAGACAGCATTAATGTAAGATGTGCCTTTGTTTACTTGTCAAGAGGAAGAGGAAAATGCCTTTTATGGCTCCCTCCAGACACACTGAGCATTTGTTTGGGGTCTTCCCTTAGAAAGCTTCACTTCCCATAGAAGAAGGTAGACATGCCTCCCTCAATCCGCTTCTGGGAAGAATGAGCATTTGTGAGAAGGCAGGCTCTGGAAATGCCACGCCTGTCCCATGTGGTGTAAAGGCACCGACTCTTTAAACTGTCATCATGCAGACCTTTGCCATTCCATACAAGCTGTGCCACAGGGTCCTGGCCAAGCCAAAGCCCAGCCTTAGACTATCCCTGCCCCTGGGCTGTGCCAGTGCCCCCCATAAGAACAACCCTCACCTGACAGATTCCTACTCCTTAAGGCACTCCCAGAGCACTGATTAGAAAGTGCCCATTCATCCTTGACTGAGCCCAGGCTCAAGTGGCACAGGGATGGGCTTACTGCAGAGACTCAGCATCTAACACCACCTGGGGAAGTGAGTCTCTCTGTTCTGGATTTCCATCATCTGTAAACATGGGGCGCAGCAGTAGCTGTGGTATAAGGTGTCTGTAGTGACTAAATGGTGTCTGCAGAGTACAGGGCCACTGCCCGGCCTGGAGAAAAGACCAGAGCCTGCTGGTCTCCACTCCTCAAACCAAGTGCAACAGCAGGCCTCTGACACAGGATGAATGTCTGCAGCGACCTGACCACTTTTTCTGTCTTCCTAGGTGGAACTGACAGCTGTTAGCCAAATCTCGTCTGCCGTTGCTCAGTGCGGGATGCTGTTTCATCTTGCAGATAGGACAGTGGAAATGGGTGATATCAGATGAATGGATGCATTTTCAAAGCTAGAGGAACAACCGAAAAGATCTGACTAAAAAAAAATTCTTTACAACATGTCCACGGTAGAAGTTTGAGGGATAAGAGACATGGCAAAACACGGAAGTAGAAATTAAAATCCTGCCACATCTCCTTTCAGTGTATGTGATACACGAACATATGATGTACACGTAATAAATATATCACATGTAAAGAAAAGTACTTGTCATGCTATAAATACAAAATGTTTAGATGACTATGATTGGAAATAGTATTTTATGAAGATATATAATTAGTTCAGTATTTTGGTTGCTCAGAATCCTATTTTTCTGGACTACAGATCATGCAAATTATAAATCTTTATACATAAATCTATAAATCTTTTTTTTTTTGAGGGGAAAATCGTAGGTCAATAACTGGACTAGACAGATAGGCTAAGCCTGAGTGCTTGCAGTGTAATGTGCAAGGTCCTGGGTTTAGTCTCCAGCACTGTAAAACAACAATACCAAAAAAAACAACCCAAACCAAGTCACCACAACCAGAAAAAAACAGGGAAGAAGGAAAAATTAAGTCAGACATGGTGGTGATCACCTGCGACCCCAGACTGACTAAGGAGACTGAGGTAAAAAGACTGGAAATTCAGAGCTAGTCTAAACCAAAGAGAGATGCTTTGGTGAGGGGGAAAAGACAAAAAACAACCTTTTACAGATTCATGTAATTTTTAATGTTTCAACTATTTTTTAAACATTTATTATTATATTTTCATTTTATGTGTATTAGTGTATTGCCTGCATGTGTGTAAGTGCACCCATGTCATGCAGTGTCGGTGGAGCCCCTGGAACCAGAGTTATAGACAGTTGGTAGCTGCCATGTGGGTGCTGGGAATCGAACCTGGGTCCTTTGCAAGAGCAGCCAGTGCTCTTAGCCATTGAGTCATCTTTCCAAGCCCTGTTTCAGCTATTTAAGGCAAAATATGAATCAAAGTTCTTTTTCTGGATTTTTAATTATGAAGTCTAAGAATCCACTGAATTCTCCAATTCTGTGTTACTTTTGAAGCAAGAAAATGATAAATTCTGTCAGTTTGTAGATAGAGCCTGATACCTAGGCTGGCCTACATACCACTGGCATTTAGTTATGCAGAAGATATGTGACCAAGCGTTAGAGAAACCAAACAGACGTCAAAAACACAGGGTGCTCAGAAAAGCACACCCATTTTCCAAGAGGAGGCTCACACTGCACGGGTGGGCAGGAGTTAGAATTTGTAACTTTCAAGCAGTATTTTTTTTGTTTTAACGAAGCATACTAGACTAAAACACATGAATTCAAGCACGTAAGGTACCATTACTGATTTTTGTTTTGTGTCTCTTTGTGTATGTGTGTGACACAGAGAGGAAAACAAGAGAAACTTTTGTCAAATGCAACCAGAAGTTTGAGGTCTCATCTGTTAACTTTTCCTTCAGAAATATTTCAGATGTGATTTTCCCAGGCAAGGCCTTTGAAATTCTGATTTTATCAGTAACTGTATTTATGTAAAACACATAAAGCCAAGATAAATAGATCAACAACAGAACACTTTCTTGTTAAAACTTCCTTTGGGTCCCAGACCAGAGAATCACTAGGAAGAATTTCTCACACAGGCATTTGGGGACCTTCACAAAGTAGTCCTCATGAGAGTTCCTTGAACGGAGCTCGTAGGCACTGGCAAGATAGGATGGAAAGAAAACTCAGGACACGTGGGTGGGCAAGAACCCCGCCCCCTGCACTTCTTTCTGCCTTCTCGTCAAGGTCTGGTTTATGCTTCTCACTGTCTGAAAGTCAAGAATTTCAACATGGCCAAGAGACTTTTCAATCATGAGTGAGCTAAGGGCCAACATGTGACCTTTGAGTTTGGTCTTATCACCACTCATGACTCACCCCCAAACCTGAACACGGCACCTCATAAGCCACTCTGTGATTCCATGTCCAAAAGGAAATGGGGAAAAATAAGTAACGGCTCCTTATTTTTAAACTTTGCTTAATCTTTGACCCTGGTTGAGCAATGTAACTTGAAAAACCACGAAGCCCCCCCAACACACACGCACACGCACACACACACACACACACACACACACAGAGGCACACATGTACACACCCTGCAGTGCTAGGGGGTGGAACCTAGGATCTGTCACATGCTAGACAAGTGCTCTACCACTGAGCTACACCCTCTGCCTTTCTTCTGTGGTTTTTAAGACAGGATCTCCCTAAGTTGCTCATGCTGGCCAAGAACCCACTGCACAGCCCAGGTTTGTTCGCCTTGAACTTGGATCCTCTTTGCCCAGCCTCCCCAGACGCTGGGACTACCTCCCTCAGAGGCCTCTTGTTAATACACAATTCATCCTTCTATGAATCCTATACCTGACCACCCCATGATTTTTCTTAATAAACTTCAGTTATTCTTTCATAATGACATCCTGAGTTTCTCTTCTGCGGCATAAGTCAAGATCCCAGCTTTCTGAGACCAGGCTGAGATCTCTAGGTAGAACTCAGGACTAACTCAGGCTGGCTGCACTGGGTTGCTAACACAACTAGCTGACTTGGCATGTCACACTTTTGTCACAGCATTCTCCAGATGGGCCTGGCTTTTATGCCATAATCATCCCCCCACCCCTGTTCCTCTCCTCCTCCACATTGGCTCATTACCTAGCCCATGGTGGCCATGAATTGCAACTGTCCTTCCTGCCTCAGCTCCTGAGGGCTGGAATTACAGTCATGTGCCACCATACCCAGCCCTGAACAAACTCTTATGTCTAGACCGACTGAGAAGTTCTGGGAGCTACACAGAGCATTGTTCCAACACATCTGCAGCCACACCCACCAGCCCAGCCTTGTTAAACAGTGCATCTCTGGTTTACCACTGGGCTCTGTAAACCTCAAGTTCAGTTTTCTATTTTTATAGTCAATTAGGGGAAGGGACTGTGTCTGTATATCTACAAGACAAAGATTGGACAGGTGGGGGTGCCAAGGGGTGGAAAGGAAGTCAGCCTTGAGGGTGGATATGGCCTGCAGGTGCCTCTGTTAGAGCTTTAGAGCCCCATGATGAACTATCTTTCTAAGCTTCAGGAAGTGAGGAGTACATGGGTCACACAACCCACATGCTTCGTGGATTGTGTTTATTAGACTGTTCTCCCTTAAAGAAGCTTCTACCCAGGAGATTGTGAGTGAGTCTAGGACTAGCGGCTGCTTCCACAGTGAGACAGCCAAGATACCTGTGTTGCTTCTGTCCCATACATAAAGAATTTCAATAAAAATTAAGGCCTGACTAATCGACTTCTTCACCAATTAGAAGCCACACAAGAGGAAGACCTCTCAGAAGAAATTAGGTAAGTTTTCTACTAAGAATGACTTTTGCATTTGCAAGGAAAAGGAGGTTTTCCTCTTGAGTGTTCGTGGCAGTCTAGGGCTTTCCCCTCCAGTTCAGCAAGCAGGATTATTTCTGAATGACAGGTAAGAAGGCAGGTGGAATCCGAGTCCCCTTGGGGTCATCTGGCCTCAGAACCTGGCTGATTCTGATCACATTGCTGGGACTCTACTTTTGGGGCCACAAGAAACACAGATGCTCCTGCCGGGGGGTGGGAGGGCAGGCGCCTCGGCGACGCAGCAATCACAGCCCAGCCTGTCCTATATAGGGCGGGAGGTACCCGCGGCTGCGCCCACGTGTCTGCTTGTTACCATCTTAATGCCGAGTCTGAGACCCCGCCTGCTGCTCGCAGTGCCCCGGCTCCATCCTCTGCGGAGAAGCCCCCCCCGCCTCCCCCGGCCACGAAGAGAGGGAAGAAGCCGGGCCCGGGTGCCGTGCGCGAACCGCGCAGGTGCTCGGTCTCCAGGCTCATCCCCGAGGCCTGGTCGTCCTCGCTGGAGCGAGCGGACACGTCCCTGGCCGCGCTCAAGAAGGCCTTGGCCGCGGGCTACGACGTGGACAAGAACAACAGCCGCATCAAGCTGGGGCTCAAGAGCCTGGTGAGCAAGGGCACCCTGGTGCAGACCAAGGGCACCGGCGCCGCCGGCTCCTTCAAGCTCAACAAGACGGTGGCCCCCGAGGCCCCCAAGCGCCAGCGCGCCTCCAGCGAGGCCAAGAAGCTGGCCTTGGCCAAGGGCTCCAGGTCCCCCAAGAGCCCCAAGACCAAGGCTTTCAAGAAGCCCAGGGCCACGGCCAAGAGGGCGGCCAGGGGCCGGGAGAAGGCCAAGGCGGCCAAGGCCATGCAGCCGCGGAATAGCCCAGAGCCCGCCAAGGCCAGCGCGGCCAGCCCCAAGGTCGGGAGGCCAAGGCTGGGCCTGCAGAAGACCAACCCCTGGAAGGCGGCCAAGAAGTGAGTTTCCAGGCCAGATTTCACAGAACCCAAAGGCCCTTTTAAGAGCCACCCACGTGGCTTTTAAGTTGTGTGCGCCTTTCCTGGGCGGATGGCCTGCCAGCAAGGGCAGCTGTGTGTGGGGAGGCACTTAGGGTGGCATCTACGCCTTAGAGTTCTGAGTCCAGGGGTCCTCAGGGAAGTTGCTATGTCTGCTGTGTTCTAGAAATGCCACTTTGTCAAGGTAAGAGATGAGTTCACCCCTGTGCTGTACCCTTGTGTGTCTTTAAAACACCACTACCTGGTGTCCATGCATTCAAAGTATCACTGAGTCTAGATGTTCAGGACTTGAACTGGGGTGTGTTAGAATTTCCTGAGTGATCAGAAAAAGGCCTTGTAGTTCCAAGAATCTTAGTGTCTATGATGCACTGTCAATCAACAGCAGGTTTCTGTTTTTAGTGTCTAGTTGCACAGTCAACAGAACATGTTTCTACATTTCTCAAAAAAAGTGGTTTAATACCAGTGATCCAGCACGATTACAACTGAAATATTTTATTTTCTTATGGAAATGTACAAGCTTTGAGAAACTGCCAAAACACAGTATTGAAAATTGACTCCAGGAGCTGGAGAGATGGCTTAGCCCTTAATAGCACTGCTGTCCGGGCCTTGGTTCCCAGCATCCACATGGGAGCTAACAACTATCTGTAACTCCAGTTCCAAAGATTACTATGCCCTCTTCTAATCTCCATGGGCATTGTATGACACGGGTACACTTATATGCATGCATGCAATACACTGATAAAACCTCATTCAATTTTATGTCTTAGAGGGGTTATACTGAGTATAACAATGTGTAACTGTATTAATTCAACACTGAATCTAAAAATTTACAGCCAGTTTTGAAAGAGATGCATCTTTGCTCTGGAAACTGTTATCGACTGTATCAATTCTGTTGTAATGTTTCTAATTATGTGGTTATTAAATGTTTTTGAAAATTAAAAAAAAATATATTTATTAAATTAACTCCATTCTTTGTGGCCCATGCCTTTAATCCCAGAACTCTGAAGGCGGGGTGGGAGGATTGGAGGGGGAGTGGTCAGATATCTGGGACTGTGAGTTCAAGGTCAGCTGGGACTACAGGTAGACCCTGTCTCCAAAAAAAAAAAAGTCTGTCCTTTACTGGAAATTCTAGGGCCTGAATTCAACATCCCTACCTAAGTAAGACAAAGATTGTTAGAGAAAGTCAGGGTCTGGGCTGAAGCACTAAAAAAAATTTTTTTTTTTTTTTTGTCTTTTTGAGACAGGGTCTCCCTGTAGCCCCAGCTGTCCTGGAACTCACTGTGTAGACCAGGCTGGCCTTGAACTCGGAGATCTGCCTGCTTCTGCCTCCGGAGTGCTGGGATTAAAGGCGTGTGCCACCATGCCTGGCAGATTTTTTCAGTTTTCTAAATGTATTATTTAGCAGTCCTTGGTTTTGGTTGGGGGGGGGTGTTGTTTTTGTTGTTTTGTTTGTGTGTTTTGTTTTGGTTTTGTCTTTTCAAGACAGGGTCTCCCTGTAGCCCCAACTGTCCTGAAACTCACTATGTAGACCAGGCTGGCCTTGAACTCAAAGATCCTCCTGTCTCTGTCTCCCCAGTGCTAGGCTTAAAGGTGGCTTGATCAGTCTTACGAATTAAGAATTCTAACAAACATTAAGTTCTTAATGTTCATCTATTTTGGGCCCTGGTTTGGGGAGTGTTGGTTTGAATGAGCAATGTCTGCCAGGGGTTCACATACCTGAACATTTGATCCTGAGCTGCTGCTGCTGCTTGGGAGGAGCTGAGGCAGCACAGGGGACGGGCAGGCTTTGCCTTAGCCTTACACAGTTCATTCTCCGTGCTTCAGGTTTGCTATTGATGATGTCAGTGCTTACCTTCCTGCTCCAGCCACGTGCCTCTCCGCCATTTTAGTGGTGGTGTTTCACCACAGTGACAGGAAAGTAAAGTCGAGGCCAGCCTGGTCTACACAGTGAGTTCCAGGCCAGCTGGGATACAGGGAGACCCTGTTTCAAAAAGACAAAAACAAAACAAAAAACAACAAAAAACCCACTGCAAGGCAGCTTGAGTTGGCCCAGCTGTGAAGAGCTAGCATTGTTCTCGCAGAGGATTAGATTCAGATCCCAGCACCCATGTTGAGTGGCTCACGATCGCCGGTAACTCTAGCTCCAGGTTATGATGCCGTCTTCTGGCACCCACACAAACTCCACACACAATTCATAAAAACCACATACATATAACAAACACATGCAGTGCATGGCTACAAACTCGTTCTCCACATGGGTCACCAGCTCCAGGCCCGTCTGGAATGACTGAATTTAAACCTTTCCGGAGTCACATATAATGGAAAAACCAAACAACTTTAAGTTGTGTAGACGCCAAAGATGCCTCCAAGTTCCCGAGTGTGGAGCTGTGAGCGTGCTGGGACGTGCTCCCTTGCCTGGCTGCACGGTCACTTCATTTCACAATGCGGGCTGACTGGCTGGCCTCACCCTCCAGGTGGCACGTTTCAACAGGAGTACCTTTAAAACTGTATCCAGTACCTACCTCACATACATCTTGGTTCAATATATCAAACAAAGGGCTGTGGGGATGGGGGTTCAAGGTCTATGGATTGCTGTCAGGCCACCTTTTCAGATATCGACGTCGCTGGCCCTTCAACCGAGATCCAGACCACACCGCAAACATGCAGCTGCAGTGATCTCGGTTGCTTGTGAAGGCAGCAAACCATTTACTGCATACATCCAATTTGCACATTAACTTGTCAATTACACCATTTCCCGGTTTGGGGCAGGGGGTTATCACGCCACCACCCTGCAACAGTAAGCCCCATCAAGGTGGTTGCGACTGCAACTGGTCTCATTTCGCGGCTCAGCTCTTTACATGATTCTATGGGTGGCCCTGAAAAGGGCCTTTGTGGGGGGACAGCGGTCCGAGCGCATCAGCCGCCGAAGCCGTAGAGCGTGCGGCCCTGGCGCTTGAGCGCGTAGACCACGTCCATGGCCGTGACGGTCTTGCGCTTGGCGTGCTCCGTATAGGTCACGGCGTCGCGGATCACGTTCTCCAGGAAGACCTTCAGCACCCCGCGGGTCTCCTCGTAGATGAGGCCGGAGATGCGCTTGACGCCGCCGCGCCGGGCCAGGCGCCGGATGGCGGGCTTGGTGATGCCCTGGATGTTGTCGCGCAGAACTTTACGGTGGCGCTTGGCGCCGCCCTTGCCCAGGCCCTTTCCGCCCTTGCCGCGACCAGACATGGCTGAAAAGCACTGTACCCCGGGCAGGAGACCTGCTCCTTAAATAGCCCTTTGGCGGACCTGATTGAAAACGCCAGGAATGAGGCCGGAGATGCGCTTGACGCCGCCGCGCCGGGCCAGGCGCCGGATAGCGGGCTTGGTGATGCCCTGGATATTGTCGCGCAGAACCTTACGGTGGCGCTTGGCGCCGCCCTTGCCCAGGCCCTTTCCACCCTTGCCGCGACCAGACATGGCTGAAAAGCACTGTACCCCGGGCTGGAGACCTGCTCCTTAAATAGCCCTTTGGCGGACCTGATTGAAAACGCCAGGCGGGTTTTTTTCCGAATTAGGTCACCGCAGGGGGTGGAACAAGAAGGCGGACTCATTACAATCACCGTGGTTTGATTGGCCAGTGAAACGCTTCTCGGAGCTGGCGCTAGAGGTGCGTCTCCCAAACGCAGCTGAAAAACTTCGAGTTTTGCTTTGCATTTTTTGCAACGCATTCAAACTTCTCCTTTTAGTGTTTGAGTGGTTCTAACATGCATGTCGTGTTCGGATCCAACCCGGACCCCGCCCCCCACCCCGAATGGCATTGTATTTACGCAAAATGAAAAGGTCTTTGGGCCCACCAAGCCGAGCAAACACCACATTTCGGTTTCCTGTTTATTTTGGTACGGTTAAGGCGATGGCTCTGTTGAGAGCAGGAAGGATGACGGCTACAATTGGGCGCATGATGACACGTCCCGGGCTTCCCCTTTCTCTTTCAGTATTAGTCGAAGGACGCCCACCGACGTTCTCTGCGCCGGTCTTTTAGCCAGTCCCTAAAGCCTTTATCTTTGGAAGACAAAACGCTGAAAAAGAGTCGGAAATTTAACCTCGGAAGCGCAAACTTCACCTTCCCTATTTTGATTCATCCTTTTATGGAGTGACTGTAAAAACTGAAAGCCAGTAAGGGCAAATCTGGGTGTCCAGTTGTCCCTGGCCTGCAGTGTGGTCTTATCCGCCTGCTGCTCCAACCTTTCCTCCCTTCCAGCCTTTATGCATCACAGTACAGCTTGCTTCAGCTTTTGAAAAGACTTGTGTTTTGTATAGCTGGGGATTAGTTACACTGTAGGGCTAATACTTAAGGTCATCACAAAGCCTACCAGGTCCTCCCCGAGAGGCCTTTGCTAAGATTAGTGATTGCCAAACAAGGCTAATCCCTTGTCTTTAAAAGCCAGAACAGCAGCATTAGATTGCATTGTGCATTCTTTATGGTGTTAGTTTTGAACGTGTACAAGTGTATTGCCTGCATGTATGGGAGTGCAGCCCTGTCATGCAATGCCTGAAGAGGTCAGAAGAAGGCATCAGATTCCCCTGGAACTGGACTTATGGATAGTTGTTAGCTGCCTTGTGGGTGCTAGGAATTGAAACCCAGTCCTATGCAAGAGTAGCCAGTGCTCTTAACTGCTGAGCCGGCTCTCCAGCTCAAAGTTAAGGTTTTTAACTCCTGTTTTCAACTACCCACTCCTACCAGAAACACTTCATACCAGGAGTGTCAAGCATGAAGGAATGTCAAGCATGATAGAGGAGCTAAGTAGGGTGAAGTCACTGCTGGAAACCCGGAACCTCAGCATGCTTTCCAGTTCTTGACAATAATATTTAATTTAATTTAATTAAACACAATATATAGCTCTTTATTTAAAATGAATCCTTCCACTATTAAGAAAAGTACGAGCATTATTCAAATGGCTTGCAAGAGGGACGGCTCACCTTGGAATCTGTATAAATTTTCCCTCTCTTTTCCTCTTACCTTTCTCTTCCTCTCCAGGTGAACATCGCAGGTCAGGACCCCGTTCGTTGGAGATGGTATTGAGACCCTTCAGATAAACTCTGCAAACAAGTTTTGCTTAATAGAACACATGAAGTATTCAAACAAAGTTTTGTAATAGCATAGAGATGAAGAAAGAAAGAAAGAAAGAAAGAAAGAAAGAAAGAAAGAAAGAAAGAAAGAAAGAAACCCAGCTGGGTGTGGTAACATAGGCTACCCTGGAGGCTGAAGCAGGAGGATCAAAAGTTCAAGTCCCTGGGCTAGAGAGATGGCTCAGCTGTTAAGAACACTGGCTGTTAATGCAGAAGACCCAGGTTCGATTCCCAGCACCCTCATGGCAGCTAACATCTGTAACTCCAGTTTCAGGGGATCCAATGGCCTCTTCTGCCCATTTGGTGACATGGGTGCACTTACTTACATGCAGGCAATACACACATACACATACAAATAATAAATAAAATATTGAAAAAAAAAAAAAGTTCAGGTCCTGCCTAGGCAACAAACTGAGTTCAAGGCCTGCATGGGCAACTTAGGGACACTCTGTCTTAATAGTTAAGAAAAGGCTTGCGGTTATACCTCGGTGGTGGGGTGCTTGCCTAGTATGTGTGTCGCCAGGCTCAATCTTCAGTCCTGAGTAAAAATAGTGGTGGCTTGAACTAGGGGGCTCACATGTGCTAAGCAAGTGCCTTGCCACTGGGCTGCACCAACTTCGTTTTGTTTTACCTTTTCAGTATTTTATATTTTATGTTTATGTTTTATTTTGAGAGAAAGGCTTACTAAGTTGCCCAGTCTGGCCTTGAACTTGTGTTTCTTCTGTGTTAACCTCCCAAGAAGAGCAGGTGATAGCTGTCCGTAACTTAAAATTTTCTTTTTTGGGGGGGGGGTTGGTCGTACTGGGGACTAAACTCAGAGCACTGGGTATGCCAGGCAAGCACTGTACCAACTGAGCTATATTCCAGATTTGTATAATAATGATGATGCTGTCTATAAAAGCTGGTGAATAAAATGGTTTCTAGGGGCTTCCAGGACCATCTATCCCCAAATTTCTCTTTAGATGATAATGAAAATAAACATAACTGTGACTTCAGTGGTCAGGAATTTGTGTATGGACAGAAAAAAGTCTTTTAAAAAAATCCCCGAAAAGACTATTTCAGAATATTTCTGATAAGTTTTTAGGTTATTTCTGATAAATTTTATGGTTAATTATGGAATCTTAAAACAGATTTGTTCCTTAGTAACATCAGAGGCTCTGCTACCAGGCAGCTGTGGGGATTCTTAAGTAGTTTCCCAAGCAGGTGGTAACATTACCACCCCCCCCACCCCCCTTTCTTGACTTGGCCATAAGTGTTGTCCTGGTTACAAGCTGTATTAAAATTCCAACACAGCCATTTTCTAGCTGGGTAAACTTCAGCTAGCCTCTCCCTGCCTTTGTTTCTGTAACGTCAAGATGAAGGGAAAGAGTGACAATATCCTGCCTCATAGAGATCTTCTTGGGAATTAATATTGAAGACACAGCTTAGGACCAGGTGCGGTGGCACACACCTTTAATCCCAGGAAAGGCAGTGAGTCGATCTCTGTGAGTCCTAGGCCAGCCTGGTCTACATAGTGAGTTCTTGGCCAACCAGGACTATACAGTGAGACCATTTCAAACAAGAAAAGGAAAACAAAAACAAAAAACACCCTACAGTCTAGCATCATTACATAGCAAGAAAAATTAAGCACTTTTTTTTTTTTTTTTTTTTTAATACGAAGGGTTGGGGAATGTGGTTTCTTGGCAGAGTACTTGCCTGGCATGTATTGAACTTGGGTTCCATGTTAGACAAGTGCTGGGTTCAAGTCTCAGAACAAAAATAGTTTTAGGAAACATTCATTCTTTCAATGTTACTGCGAATGCGACTTATTTAGGTAAAGAGGGTTATTATGAATTGATAATCATCCGCTGGAGATGCTGTTTTATCTTCCACTTTAAACTGTCACTAAAACAGCAAGTCTGAATCATCAGAGTGGTGCAAACAAATTCGGGTGGCAAAGTGGCAAGGTTTCAAATAAGATTGACATCCCACAGGCGGAAACATTGCATCAATGCTGCATGCATTAAAGTGTAGCAGTTGCTGAATTCCGAAGGAGCAAGTTATGTTCCAAAGTGCACGAAAGAATAAAAATTCCAGGCGTCAGCCCACACAGCTTTAATGCATTAAGTGGTTCAAACTCGCTTGATAGTTATTATCAAATCAGAGCGTGGTTAGAGAAAGACAGCAGTTTAAAAATAACATCGTGAGAATCTCTGCCCCTGCACTGACAGTATTTTGCTTTGCACAGTGTCCATGGAGCGCTGCACGTGACTGCAGCTCCCCAGCCTACTGTTCACAGTACGGCACAGCCTGAGAGGAAACTTGCCAGCTTGGCCCTCCCAGGGAGCTTCAGTCATGGGCTGTGTTTGCCATCTGTTTGGTGGCCAGTACAGGGAACTCCGCAGTATCCTGGGAGTTCCAAACTTTCAGCATCTAGTAAATTTTCTTTTAAAAAATCTTCTCCTAGCTGGGCGTGGTGGCGCACCCTTTAATCCCAGCACTTGGGAGGCAGAGGCAGGGGAATCTCTATGAGTTCAAGGCCAGCCTGCCCTACATAGTGAGTTCCATGCTAGCTGGGGCTACAGGGAGACCCTGTCTCAAAAAGACAAAAAAAAAAGTTAAAAAATAAAAAATCTTTACCTATTATACGCGTGCGCATGTGTGTGTGTGTGTGCTGTACATGTATATGCTGTTGTTATTCTGAGAAAGTTTCATGTAGCCCAGGTTGGCCTCCAACTCACGGTATAGTCTTGAACTTCTGATTTCCTGCCTCCACCTCCCACGCACTGGTATGACAGGCATGCATGCGCCACCACACCTGTGCCTTTGCTGGACAAATGTTCTAACCACCAGCTCCTGTCCACCAGGAAAATGATCTCTCAGTAGTCCTCATATCCTCCCCACCATTCCCTTTTCTTGCAGTCACATGACCATCGTAATACATTGGAGCCACCAGGTGTCACCATTCCCACACTTACCACGCTTTGTTAGCACTTAACCAGAGATTTGAAGTACAAGTCTTTAATTCTTCAAATGTGGTCTTTGAAAAATGATGAACAAAGGTAGAAAAATGACACTAAGAAACGTACAAAAATGCAACGTTATCAGGTAATTAGTAAATGAGTCGTGAATACTCTGGTGCCACTTGAAATTGCCTGAGTGAAATAAAAACAGTTTAAAGACACGTTCCTTCTGGAGGTGGAGGTAGCCCTTCGCATTTGTCTGTGAGAAGGTGGTTAAGGGAGAAGAGATCCCATTGTGTTTCTAGCTTGATTTGTAGATAAAACAAGTCTGAGCTTACAGCTTAGAAGATAACATCGTCATGGGAAGGACAACCGTTAATCCAGCTACCACAATGTAATCACAGTATTCCATAAAACACGATTCGAGGGAACAAAACACACACCTGCAGTCCCAGCATTTAGGAGTTCAAGGCACTCGTAAGGTACACGGTGAGTTTAAGGCCTGGACTAGCCGACTCCTTAACTCAAAAAACTAAACCAAAACTAAACAGTAGCCAAAATTAGAAGTGACATAGATGTCCTACATTGATGGAAGAGTCTACTTCATACATGAGACCAACAAGGATAGCAACAAGCCATTCAGGAGACAACAGTGGCACTTATTAAACACATGTTTAGTTTGCACTTTCGAGAGGAGCAATACCAGGAGAACACAAGCCGCTAACGGAGGTTGGTGCTCGTTAGTGAGTCTATAACTCAAGTCTTACTCATCTTCCACATTCAACAATGGAAACTTTTGATAAACTTGTGATTTTTTTTTCCTATATAACTTTCACAACCAGAAAAAAAGATACAGGTAAAAAAAAGCTTGCTGCCTCTGCACAAATTCAGCACCTACTAAAAAAACTGTGGTGCTGTGCTTGGTCTGTGGGACTTGTCCTTCGGGGTGGGATGTTTACACCACAGTCATGTAGGCAAATGTGTGCAGGAGGAAGTGAACATGTTCCATCTGGATGGAAACATAAGCACATACATGCACACATGCATGTACATTCACACAAGTGTGCATACAATATGTGCACACGTGTGTACACACATAATCACGTGAACATGTAAACCCAATAACCCCAGACAATCTCCAAGCCATTTAGCTGCTTCCTTTTTTTTTTAAAGATCTATTTAATTTCATTTTATGTGTCTGTTTGCCTGAATGTATGTATTTACACCATGTACATGCCTGGTGTTCGTGGAGGCCAGAAAATGGCAATGGATACCTTGGAACTGGAGTGAGAGATGGTTGTCAGCTACCATGTAGGTGGTGGGAGCTGAACCCCAGTCCTCTGTGAGAGAACATCAAGTGCTCCAAACCATTGAGCCATCCTGCCAATCCTGAAAGCTTCCATTTCACCTCCTTAAGATAATACAGACTGTGGTCTGTTGGGAGAACGACTTTAAGGTTCTGAGTCCAGAGGCATCAGCTTCCACACTGTGAGGCACACACCCACAACTGAGCCAGAAAAACAACCAAAGAAAAGGAGGAAGAGTTAGGGAGTCACTGTCTGCCGCCCCCCCCGACTTTGAAAGGACACGTGGCCTCTGAGGATGGGAGAGTGTGCCCACTGTTTCCTGTGGGTCAAGCTTACTGTAGAGGAACCCCAGGGGTCAAGAGAAGAGCCATCTCTCACCACCCACTTGGAGCAGCTCATCCCGAGAAGTGGTAACATGGGACATGAGGTGCATCAAAGAGCCAGAAGGACACAGGGAAAGCCACACCCCCTCTGAGGAGCTGGGAGATGCTCTCTTCTTCCTTTTAATCATCTAAAGGGGGGGTTGGAGGAGACAACAGCCTCCTCTTCCTAGAATTACTGTGACTTCCATGAGCGAATCTGGCCGAAGCAGGTTCCTGGAGCACAGCGTGGCACTGAGGGCTTCACTTAAACACAATTTTCACTATATTATCATTCATTCCACGATTCCTATTATCAGAACAGAGAGGGTACTTCAGGGCCATTGTGTCACAAATGCATATGCTATTATCCTTGAAAGCCTGTGAAGGATCCTTGTACAAATTAGAAAAAGATACCCAGCCCCACCTTCAATCCACTTTAAGACACTTCTCTCCCCCTTGCTGAGTAAAACATCATCTTGCACACAAACATCGATCCTCAGGATGAACAGTGTGCTGCTCTCACATCTGCGTGATGACCCAATCACACTCCAGTCAGAAGTCAGAAGAGAAGTCAGCTTGGTGACAGGGCAGTCGGATAACAGAGAGTCTCAAAGGAAAGCTGAGTGGTCCTTGACTGCAGGACTGCGCATCCAGGATGAGGGCTCGTAGCTTCTCTCCGATGTTACAGTGAATCATGTATCCCCCTCCACACAAAATTAGCGAGTCCTCCCCATGAGGAGGTGGATGAATGGGGCCTAGGTGGATGGAGAAAATTAAAGAAGCCACTAGAAGCTGTTGTGATTCAGGAAAACCAGCTCTGGAGGAAGAGCGCACAGCTGGACGGATACCAGAATGTTCTGAGGAAGTGTCCAGGGAAAACGCAGAGCACGGTTCTTTGAGCCGTTTCTCTCTGTGTTAGGTTCAACTCCTCCTTGGAACATGTACAATGGGACAAGTGTGCCACCTCTGAGTCTCCTCCCTGCCACAGGGCTTCAGAATGAGGGTCACTCACACTCGGCTAAGACGTAGTCGCCCATGGTTTCTCCTGGGAAGACAAGAGATCCGGGAAGAGACATCACAGGCCAGGCATCATCTTGTCCTGTTGCTTACCTCTTCCTCTAGCTCTGGATCCCACCAATGGTTATCTCTCATGTGAAGTTACTAGCTCTGACTGGTTTCTGTGTGGTTCGTCTCTCTGCCTGCCTGGCAGCCCATGTGCAGCACACGGAGACTCCCTCTTCTCTTCCCTGCTACTGCCAGCTCCCCAGCAGCCCTATCCCAATGTCCCAAAGGGCACAGGACCCTATGGGCTAGCTTCTGTCACCCGCTCACTATCCAGCCCTGGCTGGTCTTGAACTCATGAATGAGATGATAGTCAGGAACCTGTCTGTAGCCTTTCCTAATCAGTTTGGAGCATTCATTCTGGTGACACCCAAAACGTTTCATTCTAAGCTGCCCTTTTACTGCACGTGCTTGCCAAAAAGTCCCCTCTGCACTACATTTAGGCTCTATGAAGAGTCCCACTGGCTTTCTCACCCTCAGAGCCCCTGACCGACCTTAAACGGCACTTGTGAAATGGTGGGTGCTCAGAGGTTTGTCTTTTTGAATTAGGAATGTTCATTCTGGGGACAAAATAAAACGTAAATTCTTTTCCTATTCCCAGAGACGTACTGGTACTCCCGAAGCAAAGCTCGGAGAGGCGGCTATGGGAGCCCCATTTTCTGTGGGAGTGGGCTGTCCTGGGGGAAGGAACCCTAAGGCACTTCCTCCACATTCCTACTCACTTGAAGCCTGCTTCTTCCTTAAGATTCGGAACACAATTCCAACAGAGAAGATGACGCAAATGGCAATCCCACTGACGACTCCAATAATCACTGTGCGAGCCGGTGAGGGGTCTAAAACAGCAAGTGCAAGTTCAAGCCTGTGATTGCCACACCCCAGCCCAGAGACCTTTCCCTCACCTCCAAGGTGACTGCCTCACCCCTCCCCCACAACAGGTGATCTCTGACTAGGGCTCCCATCCTTACCCCAAGTGGCAGTGAGGGGCTGATCCAGGCCTGGGTGCTCCACTAAGCAGGTGAACCTCTGCTCCTCCCCAGGGGTCACAGCTAAGGTCACCCAGCCCCGATAGGTCCCATCCCCGTTGGGCAGCACATCCTCAGGTTGGACGACCTTGGCATCCAGTGGCTGACTGTCTTTCAACCACCTCATTGTGATGTTCTGTGGGAAGAAGTTCAGAGCCTGACACTGTAGAGAGGTTCCCGAAGAGGCCACATGTCGAGTCACCTTCACCAAAGGAGGCACTTCATGGGAAAAAGGAAGGAGGAGGAGAGGGGGTTGTTTTACCCTGGCCAGCAGGACTGGGATTCTCACTTCCCTTTATAGGCATAAGAACAAACCCTCAGAAAAACCAGTTGCAGGAGATGCCAGTTTGTATCCTGAAAATGTCAAGGTTTGACTCTAAGGGAATGTCACATGGAGAGCCGACACTGCAGCCTGTGTTCCTTGTCTAATATGTATTTACACCTGCTGCCCATGTCCTCTGGCCCAGGAGATGGAATTTCCCTCTCTGTGGCTCAAACTTGATATTGAATCTCAGTTCATCAGGTTTAATCTAAGCCTTCTTCAGGTAAAGCCCTTGGTAAACTGGCAGCTTTCGGTCAGATTACTGTGTTTTGTAAAAGTGTTTCCTAACTTCCAAAGGATTCTGCTACTCAGATGGGCTGCCTCATTGGGTATTTTCAATGTGATAATTGATATCTGGATTCATAATAAATTTAATAAATATTCATGGGATTCCCAGATAAATCAAAAGAGCACAGATTCTTCCTTGTAGCCACCTGCACGAAGAAAACGATTTACGTGTGCCTCCTGACAGTGACACGCATCTCAGTATAAAATGGAAACTCCAGCTGGTCACACCTGCAATCCCAGCACCTGAGAGGCTGAGGTAGAAAAGTGCTGTGTTTGAGACCAGCCTGGCCTACATAGTGAGTTCTGGTCAGCCTGGGCTACAGTGTGAGACCCTATCTAAAGAAGAAAAACAAGACACAAAAACAAACAAATTAACAAAAGAACACAATTGCATTAGCTGGGTGCAGTGATCCATGCCTACAAGCCCAGTACTTCAGAAGCAGGAGGACTGGCAGGAGTGTGAGCCCAGTCTGGGTTACATACTGAGTTGGTCAGTCTCGGCTATAGGGTGAGACATTGTCTCAAAAAATAATTAATTAATTAGATACTAATAAAGTATTTAAATGAATAAAGTAGTAATCTTAGGATTAGCAAAGCATTTTCCCAGAACTTGGAGTGACCTGAAACTCCAGCCAGTGAACCCTGGATTCCCCTTCCCACCCTCCCTAGCGTATGGGGGCCTGAGTGTGTCTGCATACCTTGCTGCTCCAGAGCCCCTCTCCCCAGCTCCAGGAACTGCTTCAGCTGCTCGGGGCAGTCCCTCTCCAGGTAGTCCTTGCTCTGTTTGGTCCGAAGCTTGTGTCCTTCCCACTCTACCTTGGTGGCTCGGGCCCCAGGCTCAGCTGCTCTCCAGTCCAATGTTTCGGGGCAGAATTCGAGGTGGTCCTGTCCGTCGTACCCATACTTCCAGAAGCCCCTGGTGCTGTTGTCTTCATGTACCTCACAGCCCAGGATCACCTGCAGGGTGTGGGAATCTGCCAGCACGCCCAGCTTCCTGACTGAAACCAGAGAGGTTTTTGTCTCCACTATCCCCCAGGACCACATGATCTCAAGACCACTGCAGCAAGTGGCTTCATAAAGAGTTAACACATCTTTCGACCTGATGGTTTATGGCATACTTCTAGAGTTAATGCTCAGTGAAAGGATAAAAGAACTATGTGGTCACTGCAAGCAGTGACCCCAGAAGGCAAATGTATGGGCAGAAACATGTATTCTTAGTTCTTGAAACACTCTGGTTGGGCTTAAGCTATTCTAAGAAGCAGGCACTTCTGACACATGACTTTAGTTTTGAGGTGGCTTTGTCTGATAACATCTATACATTGTATTCTTTAACTTGTTGTTGTATACAATTTGTTATTATATGTCTTACATGTTCCTGGCACAATATTTCCTGTGAACTTAACTCATCCATCTTTTTTAGTACTGAATAAAAAAGATCAGGACTGAGAAGGATCTGCATCTGGGGACCATAAGTCTCAGATCCTCCACTTAAAGCTTCATCTGTGTCTTCCCGAGTCTCCGTCCACTGGATTACTGCAGACCACCCTCCTCCCTTATCCCCCAGGACCTCAGACAGTTGTCTGCCTTGAGATGCATATGCACAGGGGTGCTATGCTCTCATCATCGCAGGGAGGTGACTCCCTGCCCACATACCCTTGCTGTGGTTGTAGTTGTCCATGATGGTCCAGAAGTCCACTATGAACATGTGATCCCACCCTTTCAGGCTCTGACTCAATTGTAGCCACAGCTGGCTTGAGGTCTGCCCCAAGATCCACGGGGCCCTGGGCTCAGCACGACGGCTCTCATGATCGTAGGACACGAACAGCTGGTCATCCACATAGCCCAAAGCCTCAAACAAGGGCAGTCCAAGGTCTGGCTCTGAGGCACCCATGAAGAGGTAGCGCAGCAAGTGAGACCCTGGGGAGAGCCACAGGAGTTCAGCAGGGGTGGCAGGCAGCGGCTTCACGCCCCTCAGCCAGTGCCCACCACAGATCTGTGTGACCCTCCCTGTGGAGTGAGACAGTCCTCCTTCCCTTCACTGGCAGCCCTGGCTGCTCTCCCTCCTCCTACATCGGTCACCCTCTGGCTGCCCCCTCTGCATGAGCAGTCAGGTTACCCTAGAAGCCAGATTCTAGAAAATCCCCAGGTTTCTCCAGCTGTGGGCACTGAGCTAGGGAACTGCTGCTCAAATGTAAGGAACCCGCGGCAGTGATCCTTTCTGCACTTCCATCTTTGAACTTATTCATATGCAAATGCTGAGTGCAATGCTGGGGAATCTGCTGACACACAACTCTTTGCACAGCCTGTCAGCAAACACAGAAAGGGCAGGAGGGCTGGGAGAGAACAGGCCCTCAGAGCCAGAGCTTTCCCTAGCCTCCTCTCAGTTCCTGGAGAAGGGAGCTCAAGGGTGCAGCCTCGGTGTCTGGAAGGGCACCTGGCATACAGTACGTGCTTCATAAATGCCTAGCATGGTGGCTCACACCTTTAATCCCAATACTCCAGAGGCTGAGGTTGGAGGATTGCTTGGACTTTGAGGCCATTTAGTGTGCACAGATGAGTTCCAGACCAGCATGAGCTACAACAGGGAGACTTGTCCCAGAAGAAAAGACCAAATTATTGGTGTATTTTGCACCCTGAGAACAAGTTAATTATTAGTAGTTCTTGTTTCTCAGTGCATAACTGTAGTCAAATAAGATCACAGATCCAAATGTTATTAAAATGTATTAAGCAAGGCTCTGGCATCTTTTAGAAAAGGCCCGTTAATCACAGCACATTGCAATCAACAAAGCCCAGATTAACAAATCCTCTTGAAGCAGGTGCTGAAAGGTGCCTTTGTTAAAGAACTCAGGCTTCTGGCCCACCCGCTGAGAGAGAGCCAGGTGAAGGCTGGCTTCCTGCTGCCTTGGGGTCTGTCTCCTTTGCTTTAAACTCAGACTCTGGCAGAACTCTGTCTACATAAGCTATTGTATCCCTTCCAAAGCTGAAGGCACAAAGATGTCCATGTCCTTGTCCCTAACCTGGATTTCCGTTGGATTCTAAAAAGAACAGAACCTTGGAACAGGAACCTGTGGCCCCCAGATGAGTATTTAGCCCAGAGGTCAGGACAGCTGCTCCTGAGGCAGAAGACATGGTCCTGTGGTCCCCTCGTGACTAGCAGATTAACAATTAAGAGACTCCTTTGCAGGACTTCAGTGGGGACCACGGTGGCAGGCCCACACCTTGACCACCTCTTTAGGCATACCTTCCACTCACTATGGAAACCAAAAGCTCGTGTCAGGACCCAAGATGGACAGCTTTCCTTGGCCCCTTTAACTGCTCCCCTCTCCAAGGTGGCCACATTGATTTTCTGATTTTTCCCGTTACCGGGTTCCTTAATTAGCTTAATTAACGGCCTGGGCATGCCTGAGATTTTGCTTTTGCCCTACAAACTTTGGCTACACTAAAACATCCATCTGACATCAAGCGTTCAAAAATAATATTTCTACACAAAAGAGCAACTGCTAAGACTGAGGAAAGGTCCAAGCCTCCCATTGCAATGGACCTCCATCCCTCGACACCGAAAAGGAACGCGTGGGGTGGGACCTTGCGCCCCCAACGCGCATGGAACAAACGTCTGAGAGCCTTTCTAGGCACCCTGAAGTGACAGCACCCAAGGGGGGACCTGGCCAAGGTCGCCCTTGGTGAGAAATTCCAGACTCCAGATGAGCTGGGGAGATAGGCACAGCAAACTACAAGAATAAAACCCACACGAGGGTGTGAGACCCCGGCTCAGCTCCGCCAGGAGGGAGTCCAGGTTACCCGCCTGGCCGCAGCGGGACAGGCCCTGCAGCTCCGGGACAGGTGTCCCCTCTTGGGGTGACAGCCTGGGCGGTAAAGCACCCCTTTGGGTCCTCCGCCTCGCTTCCCCCCTCCCCTGTGCGCACTCACGCCCGGGTCGCGCCTGAGGGGCCTCGGTCCGCAGCAGCAGCACCAGCAGCACCGTGAATCCCGCTTGCAGGCCCATGTCCCCAGCTCGGTCTGCGCCTCTTCACTACGCTCAGGAAAGTCGGTCGACCTGGGAAGTCACCCGGGAGCCATTGCCGAGCCTCCAAACATGTCCGAGAAAACTTCCTGGAGAGCGAGATCCCTTTCCGGGCCATTGCTGGGACGAAATGAGCTCCCCGACCGCGGTGGCTCCAGCAGGTGATCTCAGCCTTCCCGGGCTGAGGCAGCTGAGGTGACCGGGAGAACAAGTCCAGACTGAGCTACATAGTGAGTTCTAACCCAGCTTGGAATACAAAGTGAGACCCTGTCTCAAAAAAACAAAATTAAATAACAGTTGTCCAGAACTTGAACTTTGTCTCCAGAAGCCAAAGGTACCTACCTGCTTGTGAAACCCTTAGTGACCCAGCCTTCCCCTGCCCTTCATTAGGAATGCTGCTGACTGGGAAACCTCATCAAACAACCTCGAGGTCTAAACAGTCAATATTTCAATACTCCGTGTTTAAACTTTCAATTTTACATTTTCTTTTCTTTTTAAAATAATTTTTTTAAATTTTATATATTTTTTGTGAATGCGTGTATTGTCTGCATGTAGGTAAGTGCACCCGTGTCGTGCAATGCCCATGGAGGTCAAAAGAGGCCGTGGTGGGATCCCTTGGGACTGGAGTTGCAGAAAGCTGTTAGCTGCCATGTGGGTGCTGGGATTTGAACCTGGGTCTTCTACAAGAATAACCAGTGTTCTTAACCGCTGGGCCATCTCTCCAGCCCCCCAATTTTATATTTTCAAACCTCAGGAGACAGAGGATTGCTGTGAGTTCAAGTTCGACCTGAACTACACAGTGAGACCCTGTTTAAAGAAAAAAAATAAATACCAGAAAAATGCTTTTTCCCCCTTTTATTTGAATTAAATTGTGACTAACACAGTAAGGATTTTACTGAAACATCTTTCACAATTTGCATAACTAAACTATCATCAACTTTCTAGCACTTTGGAATCACCTGGAACATCTATAAAATAGGGAGATCCTGATCCCTCCTCCAGATAAGCTGATTTAATTGGATGTTGGGATTTTTCAAAGTTCTCCTAAACAGCCCCACAACTTTTGCCTTAGACATTTCAACCATGTTAACAAATTTAATTCATCTGATTTCTTCAAAGCCTTTAAGTATCAAATAAATTCAGGAAGTGGTACCTTTGTAAGGATGCAAATTTTGGCAATTCAAAACGGAAATGAAACTTGGAAATCTTAACTGTGCTCATAGCAGAGAGAAGACTGAGAAAATATGTGCGTTGTGTTGGGTTGTTTTTGGGGAGCAACTTCATTGTAATGATGTAATCCACAGTGCTGCTCCATTCGTCCGTTTAATGTGTGAAAATCAGTGGGTTAGCATATTCACTCCCTACCACAACCAATTTTAGAACACATTTTCCTTCTCTTGCTAGAAACTTTAGCCATCACCTCTCAAAACCTGCATCCTCCCTGCCTGAACCCCCAGGCCTGACAGTCACTAATTTCCCTTCTTGAGGTTCTGACATTTCAAATACACAGAATCCACCTACACGTAGCTTTTGTTCCGGTGCCTTTGGGCGTGCCTGACTTCTTTCATTTAGCTTAATGTTTTGGTGTCTGCTTTTCACAGACTGATCCTCTTCCCTAGTAAGGATACGTCACTCCACATTTTATTTATAACGCTGTTATGATCATTAGTGTACAGCTTTTTATGTGATCTTATGCTCTGTTTCTCTTAGACATATACCCACCTGTGGAGGTGGTGTGGTAGCTATTAAACATTTTTATTTTTTAAAGAATTTTTAAAAATTATTTATGGTGCTTATGTTGGCAGCATGCCTTGCTAGAAAGTGTAATTTTTTAAAAAGTGTAATGGTTGAGGGGGCTGGAAAGATGGCTCAGTAGTTAAAAGCACTGGCTGCTCTTGCAGAGGAACTGGGTTTGAGTACCAGCACCCACATAGTGGCTAACAACCGTCCATAACACCAGTTCCAGGGGATGCAGGCACCACCTTCAGACCTCCATGGGCATTGCATGACATGGGTGCGCTTACACACATTCAGGCTGCCACGGTCTCCGAACCCCTGCATCTCAGGCAGAGGAACGAGAGGCCACGGCAATGGGGGTCGAGGAGGGGGAAGTGTGCTGCCCGCCCTTTTTGCCAGCCCTTCTCTCCAAGAACAATCAGGGGCAGAAGGGAGTCGCTTTAAGCAGGAAAACTCGTTTATTGGCAAGGCTGATCAATATTTAAGGGCAAAAGTTGCAAACATTAGCACAGGCGGGAAAGTGGTCATCCAATCAGCTTAGAGGTCATGTATGCCACGCAGGCTCTTCTCATAGTATAACATATTGTTCACGAGGTGATCACACGTCCTTTACTGGCTAGGCTCCAATCAGTATTACTTCCTCTTTTGGTGGCGTGCCAAGCTGACCAGCTGGCTCTGCCTTCACCTCAGCTGCTCGGCGCCATCTTGTTTCCGCACCTCCACATCTCCCCCTTTTTGTTTTGTTTGGCCGGGGATCTGATTATTACCGGGCTGGCTGAACCTTGGGTTAGGTGAGCCATTAATCCCGGCCGCCCCGGTAGATGGCCAAACCTTGAATTAGGTGAGCCATTAATAAACCTTGGTTTAGGTGCTTGTCTCATGTTCGGGGGAGGTGGGTATGCGGTCATAATGGAGCCAGAGCGTCATAGCCTGTATCTGTTCTACCTGACCTCGTATAATTCTTACAAGCCTTCCATAGAAGCGGGGTCCAAAGGAACAAATAAGTGTGATTATCACTAAAGGTCCTAACAGAGCTGACAGCAAGGTGGTCAGCCAAGGGGAGCTGTTGAACCATTGTTCAAATAAGGTTTTGTCTCTCCTGGCTCACCTACCTTCTATTTCTCTCTGGACCTCATCAAGGTTTTTTGTTACTACCCCAGAGTGGTCTACATAGAAGCAGCACTCTTCTCCTAGTGCCATGCATAATCCTCCTTGCTGCATAAAAAGGAGATCGAGCCCTCTTCTGTTTTGCATGGTCATCTGTGCCTTGGAGGAAAGGGATTGTTGAAGGAACCTGGTTGCTGTTTCAAGTTTATCTAGCCCTGCATCTGTATCTGCCCGAATTCCCTGAAGGCCCTGCTGAGAAAGGGCTAGGGCTGTGGCCCTGAGAGCGGCACCCCCCATCCCAAGCCCCAGGAGCATGGAAACTCTCAGAGTCATGGCAAGCTTCCTTTTTTCTGGTGGAATTTTCAGGCTTCTTTGTCTTCCGGGGAGTGATACACCACATGGGGGAATGGTATCACCAAGGTAGAGACATCCCCCCCTTGGTTCCGGAGAAGGGGGATGGAAATGCAGGGTGTCAGTTCTGTCTCCTGGCATAGCCAATAGTGAGTAGGAGTGTTAGGGACGACCCACTCCCCTCTGAAACCCGTAATGTTTATACAGTTTTTCCACGGGTTAGTGGGATTCCCAAAGGTGATACAAGTAACACTGGAGTATTTTAAGGGAATGGAGATGCCAGATGTCTGGGTGTTTGCACTTCCCCACCGACATCGCTGGTCATCTGTGGTATTTGTAAAATTTCCCATGGCACTGACTGCTTCTAGGGGTCAGGCGGCGGCATCAAGACATAACCAACAGGAAGAGGTGAGGTCTGGTCCGGTTAAATTAAGGACCTGATAGGCTAGCTGCACCGCGGTGACCAGGTCCACCTCGGCTGACCCACCCAGTCTGTCCATGTTTTTTGTTTTTCAGGTCCCTTTAAGGCCACTGTAGTCATTTTCTTTTGTGGGGCAGGGGTACTCCCAGAATGAGCTAGTCCAGGAGTAGGTGGCAATAGCTTGGTCTTTTTAGAGCTGACCGTTGGATCCCCTAATATATTGCTTTTTAGGGGTTCAACCTTTCTCCTAATCATGAAGAGGAGGCCAGGTTCAGCTCCAGTTACATACAGTTGAAGTCTCCAGGTTTTTCCTGTGTCCCATCCCCCAGATTGCCTTCCTTCAATTGTAATGGAATTCTTAGGGGATTGCAGTGATATTTTGCACACCTCCCAAAAAGAGGGTTTGTGGACAGTCTCGGCTGTTTCACTCTCTCTACCTGAATTGCCCCTGAGGGTATGATCCAACTTCCCATCCCTGTCTTTTCGCATCCCCAATTATAACAATAATAAGAATCGGCCCCACCATGGTGTCTTACTTGCTCCCCGGTCCTGTTACTTCCTGGGCAAACAGAGAACACTGTTTCCCTCAGGCTGGTTCTCTTGACATGGGAGCACCCAGGTTCCCGGGGGGAGCCTGTGAGTGGCAAGGTGAACCCCCTCCCCTTGTCTTTGCATTCAGGTCAGGTGTCCGCTAGGTAAAGCCGGTCCCTACGCCCCAAGATCCAGCCGCGAGGTCGCAGATGTTGACCTCCAGGTCTGGCCACCATGCTCCCGGCGGGGTGATCTTGGTGGTACTGTTGGCGATCACTCCTGTGGCCGCGTTGATCACCATCCATGTGACTCTCGGAGGTTGGTGTGGATTTTGCCTCCTTGTAGCCCCGGTAAGCCTCAGCATTTCCATGAGTAGAGCTAGTAGGCAAACCTTCTGTAGGGGATTGCTCACCATTGTCTGAAAGAGAAAGAGAAAAGAAGGCCTTCTCAAGGGTTTTCTTGGGAGGTAAAGCAGGATTTCTGACTGTTATTTTTTATCTGTTTTTGTGCCTTGAAGGACAAATAGTGTCTCCACCAGATCTTTTTCTTTTCTTTGTTGGTCAGAGCACCTTGTGCATTAATCAGAGCCACTGTCCTGTGGAGGGGGTGGAGGGAGATATTTAAGATTTCTAGCCAGTACCCAAATGGGAGCTGTTTCTCCTGTAGGGAAAACACAACCAAATCCCCTTCCCGTTGTTAATAGGGGGTCTGGTCCCCTCCATTGAAATGTTACTGGGTCTTTCCATCTTACCTCAACCTGGGGCTTTTGGTTCGACTGCCCCCAATGAGCCTGGAATCTTGATTGTGAACTCCCCTGGGCCCAATTTAAAATATTAATTGTGAACAGTGCCACCCCTAACTGCTGGTGGGGGCTTATTTTTCCTTTTTGTTTTGAAAGCTCATTTTTGAGCATTTGGTGATTTCTTTCAACTATTGCCTGGCCTTGCGGGTTGTAAGGGATCCCCGTGGTGTGTGAGATACTTCATGTCTTAAAGAAGGCGGCCATTGCTGAGCTAGCAAAGCAGGGGCCATTATCAGTTTTGACCTGAGAGGGCAGGCCCAGCGTAGCGAAGCATTGCAAGAAATGTGCCTGAACGTGTTTGGTTTTCTCTCCTGCATGTGCTGTGGCCCAGCATGCATGTGAGAAAGTATCTATGGACACAAAGATATATTTT